GGTAAACACCTTTGAATAGTTAAGGCTCTTCAACTGTCTCGCTCAATAGAAAGGTACACAAAAGAATGACCACATTTTCTAAAGCACGTTTGAGATAAAATCTCGTTCACATAACACGAAGTTTGCATTATAAGCATACAAGGTCTCGTACACGCCAGCAAGCATTGCGGGACTACAAAATGGCGGCGCCCTGTCGCCGAATGTAAACAAACCGCGCGATTGCATAAACGCTTATCTATGGCATGGAACACCAAAATCCGATAAATAATTTTATAAAATGTGTTTCTCCGGAAGAAAACCGGAGGTTTTCAGGATTTTTTAGAAATATCAGGATTTCCGGATATATCCGGAAGACTTTCATCATTACTTTGATAATCTTTGGACATATTTTGAGCATGTTCCAGCTTATGTTGATGAGGGTAAAGGTGTGGATTTGATAAATCTGAATTTTCAGAAAGAATTTGACAAAATGTTACATAAAAGATTTGTTCAACAAACTCTCAATATGAGATACCTGGGATGGAAAGGTTTTCATATGAGAACAGGTAAATATCTCTGAAATTTTTCTCTTGTGGAAAAAGAAAAGTTAGAATGGATCTGTTTGAGGTATTTAAATTTATGGGAATTAATAGTGTTGATGCAACATCTTTTATCACATTTAATGGTGGAAATGAAAAGACAAGGAGAAAAATATAAAGTTTAGCATGGAAGGAGTCATCTGCAGCTAAGATAGTCGTATTGTACTAACAACAGGGTGGTTGGCTTTTGGAATGGGTTGTTTTCACTTTCAGATAAAGTGGATTAAATTAATTTAAAAAAGTTGCTGGATAAATACTTAACTGATAAACAGGTGGTATCCAGTTTTTAAGTTCTTTTTATAGCTTAGTTTAGTGGATGGGACAACCTAGATTACAATTACTGAATTAGTAAAAATACAGTAATATTCATATTACACTTACAAGTTAGTTACAGTGTAACAAATTAAATTTAAAATACAATTACAAAGGTAGTTTAACTGCAAGTAATTATAACATTTAAAACTTATTAGAACTAAAGCTAGGTCGCTAAGTGAAGAACTAAATTACTAACTAAGACTTTTACTCTTAGTCTTACTACTCCTAGTAAGAACTAAGACTGTAACTTGTAAGATTCCATGACGAGGAACCCACTTTGAGACTAATAATGCTTGGAGACGCTTTGAATGGGTAATGAATAAAAACTTTAATATATTATAAATTTTTATTCATTACCCATTCAAGCCGTTTCCAAAGTCCAAGCATTGTAAGACTCTTACTAAGAGTAAGACTATGAGTGTCCGACGACGTCATATTCATACTTAACGTTCTGCTTCTGGATATAAAAGCTTTATACTTTTCGAAATGTTTGTTCGAAAAAAAAGACATACAGTAAAATACAGCTTTCATTAAAATTCAAATAATAGTCCGAAAGCAATACATACTAAATCGAGTTTGGTGACAAACTAGTGGAACAGCCCTCCACAACAAAGACGCCATCTTGCTAGATACTGATTTAGCATCTATTAAGTATTAACATAAATCAAAGTTCTCAGTTCCGCACATTAGCTTATCATCAACTTGAGCGTTGCCTGAGAAAAGGTGATTTTAATAATATTTTTATAATGTCAATCAAAACTACGAATTTGTTCTTAAAATCATAAGAAATCTGTTTCATCTTTTTTATATTGAAATAAATTAAATAAAGTTATTTCATAATAAAAGTTAACAGTTTTATGAAATGTTTGTTTAAAATCGTGTTTACTTTCAATGTGTGTTTCTCATTTTCTGTTAATTTCTTGTGTCACTAATAGTTTGAACTCTTGGTCGAAGTCTATACGAGCGTAACTGAAGAGAGATCGGAACATGGGTATTCAACGCTGTTTGGGAATATTGAGGAATTTTTCTCGTTTTTCTATGGGTAACATTATTATTATTATTATTGAGTATGGACATGTAAGTAATAAATGTTTTCTTTCAGGAATTAATTTCTGTGTGATAATGGTAGAAACTATTCGAAACATTTACTTCGTAAAACTATTATTATAATTGATTAATTATTATATATACTAAAAGTAAAAGTAATATTACTATTAGTAACAGCAGTACTTATAATTCTAGTAACGACTAGTAATAATAATTTTACTTTTAGTGGTAGTAAGTAATATCCCTATAAATTTCAAGTTAAAATTAAAATAATACTTAGAATAATGATACTGGTGATACAGTGATAGTGTAAATTGTAAGCCACTGCAGATAGTCAATTTTATATATACTTTCAGTTTCAGTGATATAACTGTGGAAGATCAGTAATGCTGACTTATTAACTTAAAACCATTGTTTGACAAAAGCCAGTATTTGTTTGCTTATGATTGATGAATCGCTAGACTGATTATACCAAAACCTGGCATGTACCCTTTGGGCCCCTGGGGAGTGGCATTTGGATCTGACCAACCTATACAGTTATCTCCCAAAGGTCCCTGCGCATTGAATGAGTACATCAGCTTAATTTGAAATTGAATATTACCTGAGCAAATTATCGTGTAACATGAAAGTTGTACCTAATTTCACCTACAAAATAAACTACATGTAACTGTTAAGTGAGCAAATGCATTTATGAAATAACCAAATTCTAAGTTAGTAATGTATTAAAAATATAGTTTTCAGGGTAATGGTAAATTATATTCTTGAGTAGAGCTTCAAGTAAAAAATGTTGGCTATTATGGAGACAGGTTCAGTTAGTGTTCAGGTGCTAGTCTAATAGACTTGGACATTTACTACTTGGAATGAGATGATCATGAGGTTTACATAGTGAGGGGGTCTCTCATTAAATATATTGATGAAGTTATTTATAGTTTAAAGAATGACAGTGTTCCTGGGCCAGATAATACTTACCCAAAAATTTGTAATGAGGTTAAGGATTGGGTATGTGAGCTATTTGCTATTATACTTTCTAAACCCTTAAAAGTTAAATATTGGGCAGGTGCTAGAAGGTTGGAAGTTTGCTAATGTTACTCCTCTTTCAGTAATTATAGGCCTATTAGTTTCACATCCATGATGAGACAAAAATTTTAAAGTCCAATAAAAGAAACTTTGCAAAGTTATTTAACAAAGTTTAAAATTTTATTGAATAGTCTCCATGGTTTCATTAAGGGAAAATTCTGCTTTACTAATCTTTTGAAATACTTTGAAGAGGTTACTACTTAAGTAGATGAGGGTATAGGTGTGGATATGGTGTATCTGGTTTTTTCAGAAAGCATATAACAAGGTGTCACTTATAAGGCTTGTTAAAAATGTTATCCTTGTAGGTGTAAGGATAGGTTGGCTCATTGGACAAAAGACTGGTTAGATGGAAAAAAGCAGAGTGTTTTTAGAAATGGTGTTCAGTCAAACTTGATTAATATAACAAGTGGGGTTTCTCAGGGCTCAGTCTTGGCTTCTTATCTCGCAAAGGATACTGAATTGATGGAAAGGGTTGGAACTGGGATGGAAAGGTCATATGAGGATAAGATTTCTGAACTTGTTTTTGCTTAAAAAAGAGGAGTTACAAGGGTTCTGATTGTGATCTTTAAAATGTTAAGGGAATTAATAATGTTTTACCTA